ATCTTCCCGGAAGATCGCGGGACGAGATCTGTAAATATCAAATTCGATAGCTACTAATATTCCAGCATTCTCTCCGGAACAAATCTCAACTCCAGTCACGATAGACAGAGAAAGTATGTGTGAGTTTGGAGCAAGAAGAAACGGTGTGAATGCTATTTAGGTGATTGATTTCAAAACCGTTGATTTATGTCCCCTATTTTCCTTTCTCGTTTTAACATGGACGTGCATGAATCGGATTAGTTTAGTTATTGTTGAGTCTTGTGTGAGTTTAACTATATAGCTTGTATTGAATAGGAGTGACTAATACATGGGACAAACACTTGTGATGCTAGAAAGTGATATGAGATAAGGATTGCTCAATGTCGTGCAGTTTATATATGCAATGAACTTCCATTGTTCGCAATTGACCCAGTACACGAGAGCTCGATATCAGAACCAAAAGTCCTCTATTTACCTAGAGTAATGTTCTAGACACAGCCTACTCCACTCAGTCCTCTCCCCTTCCTCTCTAATACCCCTCTCTCCTACTCCAACCACTCCCCTCGACTAAATTCGGCTTTCGATATCCACTCCAAATAGTTGCATTAGAAACCAATTCAAATCTACCAATACTCGCTCCTTCACTATCCAAAGACCAGAGAGTCAATGCTACCGTGTTTTTTCCCTGGTGATTAAGGATTCCTTCAGGAACCGGGAAGCGTGTTTGCGGGCCTAGGTTATTTACTATAGGTGGGGGTTAGGATGATGACATGAAAGGCGGGGGAAAAGATGCGGAAGCGAAAAGTGGGAGGAGAAGATAAATATGAAAGGAAACAGGAGAAAATAAGGAAGATGCATACCATATTTTCCAAATTGCCACCCATTAACAAAAAGCTGAGCTCTATAATTGCCAGCCGTCCCCGTCCCCGTCCCATTAAAAACGAATCCAAGCGGCACATCCCACCCTTCTGGAATATTTAATTCAAACCTCGTAGTAAAAAATCCCACTCCAGCGCTGTCTATTCCGTCGCTGACTGGATTTCTTACTTCCAACGCATCACTTGGCGGATTTGGTAGATGGTATCCTTGTCTCTCTGCGAACATCGCTCCTTCGTTTCGAGGCCCTCGTGTTTTATCGATGAACTGTTCTCCACCTAGGTTTCCAGTCAATTTCCAGGTAATGTCGGTTTGAGGATGTGAAGAGAGAGAGTAATCGAGGAATCCACGAGGAAATTTAATAGCGTCAGTTCCCGGGGCTTCCTCATCTTGACCCATGTGATCTATTAATACTGTGAAGACGTAAGGATTTCCAGACTTCAGGGAAGGAAGTGGGAATGTTTGAGCATATGTTTGATTCCCACCACTGCCGACCCAGGAGCCTAGAAAAGTAGAATTGAGCCAGGCGGAATGAGCAAACCCGGCGCCACCCGTTGTGTTGATAAAAAATGTGGTTTCATTGCCGGTGGAGAGAAAATGACCGCGATAAATGAGGGAACCGGTGTGATAACCATAATCGCTGGCGTACATTGACGTGGGAGTTGTGAGATTCAAGGTGTTGTTTGTGGTTGTGTGGTCTAATGGTGTCCAGAGAGAATCATCGTAGTGAGGTTGAAGTTCGGGGAGGGAATCGATGTAGTGCCATTGTTGAGTTGAGAAATTGGGAAGACTAATGGATGGAGGGGAATATGATATGTGAGCTTGGAGATTTCCGTTCTTTGCCTTTCCGCTTTGGAGTAGTTTGCCATTGAGAAGAAGTGAAGTCACTTCAGTAGGTGTGGAGATAACTTCAAAGTTAGTCGTCGCATTGATGTCCCCCGTAAGTTTAAGTTGTTTTCCTTCAATACTAGCTGTTCGTAAGAGGTAGCCACCATTGACGATAATCGATGATTTCGATGGAGATGTATGGTTGCCGATTGGTGCCGGTGCTTCCAGCTCCAGAGACCAATAATTGTATGCTTCATTTCGCCACAATAAATAAATCTTTAACTTTCCGATTTGGACAACTCGTCTCTCTTGATTTACAGTCCATTGAAGTACCCAAGCTCCACCAAGTTTTCGAATATCAACCCCGTGGCCTTCTACAACGTCAGGCACACCAAGAGAGACTGGAAAAGCAGCTTCGCTATTATCTTTATCTCCACCATAGAGAATCAAGGCTCTTCCATTATTGTGATCCTTGGCCCATGAGAAAACCTCGGCTGACGAATAGATCATGTTTATTCCTCCTATATCATAATCTGTGACGTGTATCTTGGAGTCTCGACCATTCATGACCAACGATCCACCAAGCTGAGGTATTGTAATGTTGCCATGAGATGTAGTAACTGTAAACTTATACAATGTCCTTGTGAGGGACGTGAAATCTGCATGCCGGACCACGTAAAAATTGGTTCTAGTGCCATTTTTGATAGCGCCAAACAATGGGGTTACAGCAATTTCAGCCGGAACTCCAAAAGTACCATTTTCACCATGTCCAGCCGTAGCTGTCAAGTAAGCAGCGGATGCTTTCAAGAAGTTTGCTTCCAATTTCATTTCACTGTACTTTTCGCGCCAGACCTGACGATCTTCGGTAATTGATGCTCCGTAATCATAGGAGGTGTATCCTCCATGGTACCCAAGATTTCCCCAGTTGGTACCACGTATATCTTTCAAAGCTTGGTTAATCAAAGCGGAGAACTCAATAAGACGCTATGGATCTTACCATGTAGACATTGAATATTGCAACTCTAAAGCTGTAAGTATTCTTGAATTGCACTTTGATCGCATCATTGTTGGTGAGAATCGCGCATCGATCTTCTCCAACGCCACCCCTGAATTATATATTAGCGGTCAGTACGTTGAATTATTTTGCAGAGCCTACCATCCATCTCCACCTCCACCCTGGAATTCACCGATTGTAAAGGGTGTCGATGGACTGTAATTCGCATGGCTGATCTCCCAAGTCTTCGGGAATCTGTAAGTTGGCCAAATATATGGATCGCCACAATCATAACGCATAGGATAAGCATCAATTCCATAAAGATCTACCTCTCCGAGCCCACTTCCTGGTGCAAAATTCCCAATATTCAAATTGTCATTCACAACAAAAGGAACTACAACACCTGCATCCAAGAGCTGTTGTTCCACAAATGCCATATAATCTTTATTCATTTGACTCGGAAAGTTAGTAACACCAGGCCATGACGCGAATTCATTCTCAGGTTGGACCATGATAACCGGGCCGCCATTTGTGATTTGTGCTTTAGCTAGAATTTTGCCAATCGTAGAAGCATAGTTTTGAGTGGAATCAAGATAATCCTGATCAGTGGATCTTATGACTCCTTTGATTCTCAGTACCCAGCCTGGTATTCCCCCAGCTGCTGTTTCTGCATTGATGTATGGACCAGGACGAGCAATCAAGTAAATTCCGGCTTGCGTAGCAGCATCGAAAAACTCATCAAGGCTGAATACTCCATCTGTTATTACTTGCCCAGGGTTGCCTTCAAGTAATCCCCAATATGTATAGAACGATACACCAGTGAAGCCCATGGCTTTGATTTTTTGAAAAACATCGAGCCATAATCCTGGAGATGGAATACGGAATGGATGGACTTCACCGGAATATATCATAATACGTTCACCACGAACGAGAATCGAGTGTTCATCCCAAGACACCTGTACGCATATTACGGATTAAAATTCTTACTTTGGAATTTGCAGTGCAAACTACTGACCAAATCTTGTAGAACTTCTCTTTTGTGCACCTTGATACGGGCATTCTGGATGCTTCCGATTTTTAAAGCAGATATACCTTGTATCCACCACACAGCAATAAGAAATAAATTGAAGTATATCAACATAATGAAATATTGGTGGTGTGTACTTCAAATAACCACGAAACAAATATACAAGCAATATACAAGCAATGAAACGTTCCCACAAAGTAGCACCATTGTATCCTTATACTTATCTTTTTGAGTTCACATTACCTGTTCATTGAAGACGTAATTCCGCAAAATTTCCCAATACATAATGGGTGAATTCTCCCAACTTTGGAGGCAGAGTGTAGAGTGGGACGGATATATAGCCTGAATGCATACTCCGCACCGGCAATGGCATTCACGTATGATTTGCAGACTTTATGAAGTACAACGATGGAAATATCCTTGCGCTCCAATAATAAAGACAGGGATATCTTCAATGAATATAAGTGGTTCGGATGTGGTGACAGTTGTACTGTAGTTATTTTCGAAATGTGGTGTTGCAAAATGGCCCCAATCATGAAGTTGCGAATGAGGGAGTACAACCATCCAGTATTTACCCGAATATATGCCGGAAGAAACAGGCATAATTTATATGCACCAATGAACTGATTTCTTGTGAGGCTTAGCCTACCACACGTGCCTAGTTACCTAGTTCCACTAGAACTCTGCTCCACTACAAAGGAAACATTGACACAGAAAATTGAGTCGGCGGAGCACTAATAGCAATAGTAATATAATTTATCTTGTCAGCTGCAGACTCAACAAGAACGAATGGTTTGGTGTTGTGGTTTAGTGGTATAATTCTTGCTTAGGGATATATCAGTCTTCACCGATTGATTCTCCATGTAAGAGGTCCCCGGTTCAATCCCGGGCAACGCCCATTGATCTTGCTTTTTGGCCTTTTTTCTTTTGTCATTTGTCATTTTTGTTCTTCCCCTTTTATAAAAGGGGAGGGAGAGAGACAGACGTTCGTACGCAGATAGGCAGTGGATACAGGAAGAAGAGACGTTCAACAACTGACTACTACTAACACAAGACCAATAGTCATGTTTTAAATAGATATATTCCAGAACTTGACCAAATTTACTCAAGAAGTCGCAACTATCTGTTTTTACTCAGTTTTGACACATGTCAAGATTTTTTTTTTTGCTTTTTCATATAGCAATAGTAATTTTAAAAGCAAGACAGACCTCCCGTTAAGTGATATGAACCCCCATAGACCCCTAAAACTTTTTGACAAAAGCAAAATAACCCGCCATCATTCCCTGAATTGACTCATTAAATCCCAAGGGCATCAAACACACCCGGGTAGCTCTTGAAATCTCCTACCCACTTATAATTCGAAAAAGTACCCAAAGCATCAGGGGCAGCAACCTCGATTGACTCTGTTGTCACCACCGCACCAGCCAGGGTACTAATATCAATCTCAATGCCGTCTTGTTGAGCCTTCCACTCTAGATTAGCAGTCAAATAATTAATAATAGTATCTTCATTGAGATCTGGCAGAACACCTTCATCATGCTTTTTGATGAGAGCATCGGTGAGATGCACATTGCTTGAGGCGATAACATCATTGGGTGTCATGCTCTGTGTCCCAAGTGTAGCGTGCATACCAACGTATGCGGGATCTTTCGCCCACTCATCAGGTTTGGCAGAGCTCTTGCCGAGAAACACTCCGACACTGTAAGTACCGTTGAGAGCTGTCCACGGTAAATCAATCTTCACTAGGTAGTCGCGTAGAAGTGAGGTTGTGGTGGCTACTTGTCGTTTCTTGAAGCTGGCTGGGGGACTGGTATAAAGTGCAGCAATGTTTCGTTGGAGAGTAGTGTTGTCGGGATGATTGATGATCTCAGGGTAGGAATAGCCAAGCCTTTCGACGTTGCGCACATCGGCGGAGGAGAAGAAGTTGCCACTCGTATCTCGATGGAATGGAGTCAAAGCTTCGCTGTATTAGTATGTGAATACTGTGATGGAATTATACAGGGACTTACGAGAGTTTTGATCTTGAGTAGAGCCCATTTGAATGGTGAATGTGCCTGCTCTCTGCTGTGTTGGTTCGACATATGTATTGGGATATACAGCTTGCCAAAGGGCAATTAATCTGTCGATATTTGCATGGTGAAACCAGAAGATTGGATCGAATGCAGCGACTGGAACAATGGACCTGTGTGGTTTATTTCAGTCAGTATTACCACTGAATATCGTTGCCCCCAAGGGGTTCTATATAGAGAAGAAAGATCGTAAAATGGCTAAGAGAATGAGGTGTTCTGAGGAACAAACTAACATGTGACCAGAAAAGATAAAGCCTCCGGTCAACGTATGAACAGTATCATGAATCGATTCTATCGACTAATTAGTAACCAATGCCAAACGGAATTCCGCCATAAACCGAACTTACCAATGTTGCCGAAGCCAGAGCTACCGGATCCCTTGTTGCTGAATCGGTTATATGGCTGCAGTGAATTATCAGCGTTGATCAACTAGAGTTGAATGGCCTCATGGCCTCAAAAAGTAGATTTTTGAGCGAACTTACTTGCCAATTTGCAAAGAGAGTCATGATTTGTGTTCTGAAATTTGGTAAGTTGGCCTCAAATTGCTCTTCCGCGAGGTTATTTTGACTTGTGGCGTCGGCATTGTTTGATGTTGGCCACCGAAGTGTGTTTTTCCACGTGTTGAATGGAGCAGAATTCTATTTGAATCAATAAAGTACCATTATATCAGCGACTTTTTACTTACTCGAAGATCGCTTGGTATCAAGGGATGAAAGCTGTAAGAGAACAATGGATTGGGCACTGTTGCAGTACTACCATTGGGATACGTAACAAAAGCGGTTGGGTTACTTAAGACATTAGGGAGGATGGGTCCATTATTTGCAGGGTTGGCAGCCCAGTCCCAATATGGCATTCTGAGAGCCAGAGATGCCTGATGATATGCTTCTGAGTTGCTACCGGTGAATTCTTGCGCAATTTTGACACCCCAGGCATGTACTTGTTGCTCGTGTAATGCAAGGTAGGGTCTATGCCAAGGACCAAAAAGATTGGATCCATGAGTACAATACCCACTGGTTCCAGCTCCTACAGCTTGAACTCCGTCCCAGGGCTTCAAGGGGTAACCGTGAATACCTGAAAATCATTAGTCTGAAGGTCATTCATCACTAGAGTAGTTTTATCGTAGCGTACCTGCAATTTGGTAGAAAGACGACAATTCACTCTGATCGGTACCTTGATATGCTATCATAGCTAACAAAAATAAGTTCCATTGAGTAGAGTCAGCGGCAAGTGATCGAATCTCAAGACGGGGCTGTAAACCACCATCTTGAACACCTGTGATAGCAAGTGTACCTGCTCGAGATTTCAAATACTCGGGCTTAGATAGCGGGGAAGCTATGATAGAGCTGAGTAGTAATGATAAGGCCCCGAGCCTTCTGATGAGACTTGGTACCATGTTGAGCTTCAAAGAATCTGTATATTGTGTTGATAGAAATTGTAGTCTCCAACAATATGCTAGAGTCTAAGAAGTGGCCTGATAATGAAGGTGAATGCAAAGAAGAGTAGAGTGGGAAGATTATCATGAGCTCAAGATACTCTTATATATTATGGAAGTACGAATCAATAAGCGAATTATTGTTGAAGCAAAAACACGAGTGAATCGCCAATCATCTCCTGTTGTATACAGAAGATCCTCGCAACGATTTTACTGTACCTCAATAAACACATTTCGCTGTAAACTCAGCCTCGTATAGAGGTAAGACCTATGTGTAATAGCCTCGACAAAAGACGAGGATCAACTAATGCCATCGAGGAGAGCAGGCTTGAACGTAACATCAAGGCAATGAACGCATGGAATAGCGGCTCCTTGGCCTAGAATCACTTCCATGCGCTGATTTTGGAATTTGCGGTATTTTTGAGCAAGCCATATGTGAATGACATTTTCAACGTGCAGCTTTACAGCACTCGAGAAACTATTCTTGCAATGATTGCCATTCAAAATCCTGGCAACCGTGTGGCTTCAACGCCGTAGCTTATACGATCACGACACCGAGGTTGCACTAAACGTTCAAATATATTGATTGGCGCATGGTATACATCAGTGGAGTAATTAGCATAATCTTGGCACAGCTGATGTCAGGAACGCTGTCAAAATGTGGTAGACGAGCCGTCTCCTCATTGGTATCTTCGCAATTTCATCCCATTTCTAGCATCTTTTGAGCTGAATATGTAGGTTATAGGCATTCGAACTTGTGCATACCCGAGCTGCAATTTGAAGGATTCTCCATGATCAAGAACAAGGAATTCTGGAACATATCCGAAATGGAACGTTTCTCAATGTAATAGAAATGCCCATTGAGTAAGAGTGCCGAGGTTTAGGGAAAACAAAACCACCTGTATAAACGGTTTTTTGACAAATCGGATGTCATGCATGCTTCCCATCTCTTGGTTTCTGTAGAAAAAGAAATTCAATCGGGTAAGACTACGCCCATATATTACCGGAACACAGGCCGAGAAGTCTGGGCATCAAGTATGTGAATCCTACATTAAACCTTTCGTTTGAATCGAATACGACTTTTCTCTTCTCCAGATGACCATTTCTCATGTCATACCGCCCCGATATGTTGAGGCATACCATCATGATGCAACGAAAAGCATGAAATAGTTGTCATGAAAGATCTTTCCTATGCTCATTCTCGGATGTTGTGAGACTAACTAGGTAGTCAAATGTCACACCCGAAACCAGTTCCTTGGCGTTGGTCGGAGAAATTTTGAAATATTAATCCGATGTTGTTGAACCACCAACCTCTTCTTCCTTTATCCAATATTGACACCTCGAATGAACGATCAATTATCTGGACTTCCACATGTCTAGATTTCCTCTTTCTTTTCCTCAAATACCCCTGGCACAAGGTTTGATTTACATACAGTTCGTCGATCAAATCAAAACTTATGGAGTATCCTGGCTTGTTTCTTATGGTTGAGGACAAGGGGTTTTGTGGCATTTGACATATCCAGATCGAATCAGGACCGTATTTGACATTGATTAATCGGTGTCAACGTATGGATCTTGAAATGCTTCATGGCACCTGAAATCTTGAGCTTGAATTAGTAGCCTTGGTGAAGAAATCTAAAATCGGTTGGCACTGAGTGACGGATTAAGGAACAGTATGTGATATCCAGAAAAAGAGAGAGAAACATCCAGGAAAGATGTTTTGGGACTTGATTGAAGAATATCTATCAAACTAATCGTCTATTTCTTCCTCTATGTGCCACACCTTACGGATACGATACGCATCTAAACAATAGATCATAGAAGCATCCTGTCGTGTACCTATCTAGGATTCAGGTATGCATGAAGCAGCAAACAAGCATGTCTCAATGTTGTGCACCACCACCAACGACACAACACACCACCTATGCATAATGACCTCGTTCGCAGTATATGCAAAGCAATCATGCTAAGTTATGGGTATTGGATTGGGGGCTGTTGTAATCATGGCCATGTTGACTGTCTTGAACAAGATGCTGTTTTTTTGTTCTCGTTTTATCAAACACCATTTTCAGGTAACAAAATACCAAGTGCCAAGCTTGCAACAGGTCTTCATTTACTAAGGAAAGAGCGATTGCAAGTCAGCAGCGAAATCTACACTTCCAAAGAATTTGTTGTTACAACACTCAAAAGGTCAAGCATGGGATACCACAATCTTTAGTTGAGTTTGTTGAGTTTGTTGATCTTTGAAAACGAACAATGCGATAATTCATAATGCCAGTGATTATGATCTTCTCGGTGGTCTACGCTCAGAGAACAAGATGATAAGTACATCTCCATGATGGTTAAATGATACGCTTGAACAATCTGAAAAATAATGGATACATTTGTCAAACGTTATGTACAAAGTACTGCCTAAAACTCTTCAAAAAATACAGTATCTAGAAAGAAAAATCCTTGCCATAATCAAACCAGAATGATTTTTTCTGGTCTAAAAGCACCTGGTGGTTTTGGGTGATAGCTAACGGGGTTCCCTTTAGCATTTCCCCTTTGGTTAGATTCGAACCTCATTCCACCATGCCTTCTTTTCCCGTGATGCGGCTCATTCCAATGTGTATGGCCCCAAATCCAAACGTCTCTCCAGTCCAAGAGAGGCATTGTAGTTCTAATCGAACTATGATCATAGCCATGTCCCTTACAGCCATCAATAACATCACTACCATGGCTGGCTCCACTATTGAAGTCACGAAGCTTCTTTGCTGTCTGTTCAGGAGGCGAAGTTCCGCTCTTAGAAGGTGGCATGTGCGTTATGATAAGTATGCGCGTTTCAACTTCCTTGGGATCGTCTCTAATTTTCTTTGTTTCCTGCCTAATCCATTCGCAAGATGCGAAATGCCTCTCAGTTCTTTGCTTGTTAGTTTGATCACTAGGCTCACGACCTCCGCCTCTCAGTCTTTCAGTCCACAACGTACAGCCTAGTATCACAACCTTGCCTTCCTTCCCGTGAATGACATAGCGGTCGTTCTCCAAGAACACCAGTTTTCCTAATGTATCTGGATGCCTTGCAAAGCCTCTAAGCATCTTTATTGTCCCTTCCACTGTACAACTATTCGCTGGCCAGAAGTCTCTGTTTCCAGCTACGAGAAAAACTCGTTGGAGTTCTGGTTTGGCGCACATTCTAGCTAAAAATTTCCGATAATCAGTCTCACTTCGTGCACCAGTATTCCCTATGTCGCCGGCGAGGATCAAATATGGAGCACGAGGTTTAAAGTCAAAATTTTCATAGCTCGTCTGTTCAAGATGTAAATCTGAAACGTAGTGAAATGGAATATTTTGCTTGATTGTGGGAGGAAGAACGACGAGATCATTTGGCGGACCGAAAACCATCCGTACTTCAGCAATAGTAGTAGCATCAGTGAACGGATCGATACGACGACGTATTAAACCTCCTATTTTATCTTGCATTCTTCCGGAAAGCCCTCCACCCGATGTAGCCGGGGTACCTGGAGCAGGTACCGCTGGCTTAGATGTTTGAGGAGGCCTAGGGGCGGTTGTGAACGGATTAATGACGACCGGTGCAGTTGTAGCCGGGGTCGCTGGGGCAGATACCGCTGGCTTGGATGTTTGAGGAGGCCTAGGGGCGGTTGCGAGCGGATTAATGGCGACCGGTGCAGTTGTAGTTTTGGGATCTGCTTGACTCGATACACCCGTGATCAGCCCAGTTGTCATATTTTTGATATAATCTGCAACTTCTTGCTCATCCTGAACTGGAAATCCTGTCGTAGTACTCCCAGATGTGGGCCCGACTGGTGGGGGTTTCGATCCTGGTTTGGATGTCGTAGTAATCCCAGGTGTGGGCCCGACTGGTGGGGGTTTGGCTTTGAGCGCCGCAAACCAAGTTTCGAAATTCGTAGTCCCAGTGGCTGTGACTCCTATGCCCGAAGTCGATGTTGTAGTTTTGGGCGGAGCAGGCGAGCTTGTATTAGATGTAGACGGGTTTACTCCTTGGCCGTGCTGCTGGGCGCGTTTCATTGATACGAGGGCCCTTTGAATTATAGCCTTTCGTCCTTCCCTGGTAGTCCTTTCCATTCTGGCTCTAGAAAATTCTTCTTCAGAGGGTTTTTGATAAGGTAGAGATTTTTCGCCATAATATTCCCTCCTCATGTTTTGGAAAATCCAGTAAGGATGACCAGTAGCTCCGGATAGACAGTCTTTATAACCTGGATGCGTCATGAATTTTCTGTGGAAAGTATCAAAGAATATAGGCAGACTCAATACTTCCAATGAGTTCAGAAGCTCATCAGCACTGATACCGACATCGCGTTGCCTTTCACGGGCAAGTGCCTTTGCCCATTCAATATTCCCCTTCTTCCATGGTATCCAGAAGTCTATACTGGGCGATATCCAGGGCTGAGATAATCCACCGGAGTCTGGTTTCGTCGACCCCGAGGAAGTTACGCCTGAAGTTACAGGCGGTGCAGATTGTGGAGGTGGTGCGGGTGGTGCAGGTGGTGCAGGTGGTGCAGGTGGTGCGGGTGGTGCGGGTGTTATCCCTCCTCCTCCTCCAGCACCTGGGCCTGGAGGATCTGGAGGACCCGACGGACCTCCAGATGGACCTCCTGGTGGCGGGTGCTGAGGCGGCTTACTTTTATCTGACCATAACGAAAGAGGTGTCGGTCTCAATCTCGAAAGAGGCTCCAATTGCCTCCTCCCAATCTCTCCGTCACCAGTAAAAGCTTTTCCCTTTCCCCTATATCTTTGTGCAGTTTGACGATCACGATTGTAATCTAGCACGAATCCCTCATTGGTTTCATGTCTTTTAACTCTTTTGGGTCTACTTTGATTGATCATCTCTTGTCCTGCTTCTGGCAATTCATCTATCCTAACAGCGGGAGTGGGTTCCCAAGGTCGCGTTTTGCGCTTGTCAGGATTGACTCTTTTGGGAAACATGGTGATGATATTGATGATGACGGTGGAGATGAAAAGTAGTATTGCACTAGTTCCGATGGCAGCGGCGAGATTTCGGATTCCTCGTAAAATGTCGAGTTCAATTGGCATTTATATGATATTGATGGGTTGAGTCGACATACTTTGGTGATGGATTTCAGACAAGGGATAACATTTTATTATCTGGAGCTCTTTATGAAATATTTTCTTGTTGATTTTGACGAGTGTTGCCGGAACAGGTATAGGTGTTCTTTGTTGAATGTAATTCGAAAGAATTATGATGGATTGGGATGAGATGGTTGCTATGTTCTTTGTCTGAGTAGACAAGCAATTGACACGAAAGAAAATATCGAGTGTCTCTTTTCATATGCCAAGAAAAAGCTGCGTCTGCTAGTATACTGGGAGTCAATTGATGGCTTGAAGGATGCATTTCTAGACTTAATGGCATAGAAAAGTGCCAATTTGCAAATATCATTCGTAATATTTACCCCAGGTACACTTCCCCAATACTCGTTTTGAGACAATTCTTCACCTACAAGTAATTGTGTTCACCAATCAGTTATGATTTTTGCAAGATATGTCGCACTTTGTGCTCCCCTTTCTATCAAAACGCTCAGAGGCAGAAGTGTCTTCTATCGAAAACACTCCTAGATAATGATCACTCAAACATCCAATGCGAAAACCCGAGATATATTAAAGCAAAATAAGAATCTCAACACCAACGAAAGTTCTAAATCGACAACACGATATCGTATTCCAACATCAGTAACAAAAAACAGAGACTCCATCACCACAACAAGAAATCTCTACCCATCAATCTAGCATACAAAATTGTACCTACATACCCCTTACAGTTCTCCAGCGTACATTCCCTCTTCCCGTGACCATCTACACAGTCCAAAAAATACACCACACTAAGCTCACCGCATAACAAAGAAATATAGCTTGTCATACTATCAATTAGTCCTCTCGCTAACACGTCCATCAACTCCTTGTATGATTCTATAGCGAAAAATTCCTCCTTACCTTTCTAGACTTTCTTACTCTAACTATAAAAGAGATTTTATTTTTAAGAGGAATATGCAAAAGTACAACGAAATGAAACAATTTTTCCAGAACAAGGAGGTATATAGGTATCTCAGTGGTAGGTGCGAGATAGAGAATTTCCATATTCGTTTTAGAATAGAGGATACCAGTCGAGGAATACTTTCATGGTGTTGTGAAGTTTGTTGTAGATAGAGATATGTATATAGTGCGAAATTGGTGGTGTATCTGTTTTGATGGTGAAATATTACTGCTGTCGAGATTCGTTTGTAGTGATATAATGTCAATGATATACAGAGAAAAGAGATATAAGTAATGCAAATAGGACGCATCTCAAAGTGCAGCAAACGACAACAAGAAATCCATTTTCTGGCGCTCCGACAGTGTTATCGTTGACGAAGTTTACAAAGACATTTCTCTCCCCATGATTAAAAACTTTATAGCTGGAAATTTGTTATTCTCATCTTACAATGAAGAAGCTTTCAAATGAATCGAATTCCCATCTACACGTACCCACTCATCCCATCGAACTTCTCCCATAGCCACACCACCCCTTTCATCCGATAGAACTGGCGAATATTCATAGTTACCGGTATGTAATTAAGACTTCTCTACCTGCTGATAAGTAACAATCAGTAAATGCATTTAGAAGGCAATCTGGTAGGTAATCACAGCATAACGTAACCTATCGTAAGTAGCCGCTAGATCCCCAGTACCGATTGTACTCATCATCCACCCACTCATACAGTCATATTTCCAGCATGATTCCATATGGCAATCATTCCATCTCAATCTCAATCTAATTCCCATCTGTAACGATACTTACTACCCCACGAATCCAAGCTACCACCACAAACCCAAATCCCAAACGAAATCTCTCTCAAATTTCTCGACTTCCAATCACATCGGACAATATCTCAAAGTCCGAGTGGACAAATGGGCCGCGTCAGCGTCTAATTTACAATATCAACTTACCATTAACATCGAAACCGACTGAAATTTGCTACACGCAAGAAAAATAAAATAGAAGGATAAGTTTTAACATTTGCTTGCGCACAAGTTTGGGGAGGTACGAAGATCCAGACCTTGTGAGAGATGCAGTGGATCACGTTTGTCGCTGAACTTGCGTCAGCATTCTCGGTACATGAATTTTAGCGCAGAAAGGGGGATTCGGCACTCATACATACATACATACATACATACATACATACATACATACATACATACATACATACATACATACATACAAACATCAATATATAAATATAAATTTCCCTCCTCGCACACCTAGGTAGAATATGTCCTTCAAAGTCCATTGTTTCGAGTCCCAAATTAGCACCGTGAAACATTTTGGCCAGGAAAACTAAACAGGAAAACAAAATGCGTTTCTCAACTCTGAGTATAGCGACAATCAGTGTAGCTCTCACAAGCGCTCAAACACCAGCTGAGAGCTGGCCTATCATATCTCGGAATATTGGGTGCGCTTTCGGAAATATATCGGTTACGCCTGGAAAATGGATAGGTCTTTCTGGTATGCTCTCTTGATTCCTTATTAACTCATTTCATCCCATCCCATCCCTTCTCAAATAAAACAAAACAAAACAAAACAACCACCCTCCACCTTCCACCCCCCTCTCACAAACCCCCCAGACATAACCACCCAACCCTCCATCTACCACACCACTCCCCTCCCCAACCCCAACCCCAACACCCACACCCACACCAAAAAAACCTACATGCTCCTCCGTAACCACCCCCTCACACTACTCCACCCTCCCCCCGGTCTCGCCCCCAACACCACCACACGCCTACACTGGCGGCAAGGAAACTACACCACTACACCATTGCACCCCCCCTCGATCTCCCTCTCCATCTCCCTCCCCATCTTCCCAACCCCCCCTTTTCCTCAACACCCCCGACAGCATCGCCGCCTATACGGCGCCGCCACAAACCATACCTACGCAATCTATCTATTCCCACAGCCGGAGAATAATTTTCCAGACGAGGAAGCGGCGAATGTGACGTATTATGAGGAGACGACGGAGGCGAGGTTTAATTTTTCGCTAAAGGGGGTGGTGGAGAAGGTGGGGGAGCCGGTGGCGGCGAATTGGTTTGTGAGTAGTGCGTGAGGGTGGTGATGGGGGAGCGGGGAGCGGGGTGTGGGGTGTGGGGGAAACGATGTCTACCTAGGTGAAAGTATTTGATTCCACGATTGCAATTTTCTATTTAATGCACAGCTTCTGTTGTAGATAAAGACGAGATGGGTGAAAATTATCTTTGAAGATACTTACTTGCTATGACATTTCGACACGAGCCAGCTTCTCTCTCGATCACGGAGAGCGAGCTCTCTGAACACTGCTTAGCCTCTAGGTTTTTCACTGTTTAAAGAGAGATGTTTGTACCAAAAATCCTATTATGATTTAAACTCAGATAACTTTAGTGTTGCCCATCAATTTCGTAATTTCGTAAGCCCAAAATCCCATAACGCAATAAGAAACTAGGTAATAATACACTCATACACCAATAAACTAATACCCTCGTTCGTGCGTACTGTCCTTTCCCGATTTTTTTCAATCGCACACACTTCTCTTCATTCATTGATTGCCCTTCTTATCCTCTGCGTTATTTTTTGGCACGCTGACAACAACGGGTACAACCACACTATTAAGGTTTCGAAGTGCCTACAAATCATCACCATTAGCAACATACACTTTACACCAACCCGACCATTGACCACAAGAAAAAGATAAGCTCACCTTGACGAAAAAGCCCTCACTAGGCACATTCCCATTCCACGCATCCTGAACCTTTGTAATCTTTCCCTCTCCACCCTGTTGCTCTGTCCAGATACTCACCTTACTCTCAACAGTCTGTTCCATACCCCCTTTCAAGACATATTTTGTCTTCAAATCCATCTCGATTGGATTTCCAGCACTCGTGACCTCATGTCCGAGACGTTCTATTTTGTTACAAATAGTTTTTAATCCAAACCATTGAGCAGAATATTGTTTGCGTCCTTCGGCATTGGTGATTTGATCGGCGAAGACGGCGTTGTCAGACCAGAGAGATAGTTTTTCGAGGGAGGGAAGACCTGCGAAGAGCTTGAGGGATGTCAGTTTCTTGGTTTTGCGTAAAATAACGGGAAGTAAAGGAAGGGAAAGGAGGGAAGTGAGAAGCCAAGTCCAAAGTCCAAAAGCAGTAAAACAGGGAGAGAAAAAGGAAACTCATACATCCAAAACACTTCCCACAACCACCTTCTGTTTCTGATTCAATTCCACCCCGGGAGCCGTATGAACATTCGTATTTTCAATTCCCAACTCACTGAATCCCTCTGTGCCAACACTTCCAGAACTCGCATGTGCAGAGCCCGAAGTCGTGCTATACAATCTACTTCCCTTTCCCAACTCGTTTGAGCCTCTACGGGCATCATCGGCACCGGGAATTCCTGATGACATATTGGAGTTTGTATGTGTAGTATGAGAGATTACTCTTGCTGTTGCTCCTGCTGTCGATGTAGTGAAAGAAGATGTAGCAAAGTACGAAACGGGTGTAGTAAATTTACTTCCAAGAGTGATCTTTCTCGCAGAAGTAGATGTAGATGGTATCTTTTGTAGAGATCTGGCGAGTGAGGAACGCATGAAGTACTTGAGCGTGATGGTGAGTTGAGTAGAGACGCTGATGAAGGGATGGAGAGAAACTATGAGATTGAGAAAGAAATGTGGAATGTTTATACCTGCCTTTTCTATTTTATATATCACGTACTACTCAGTACCTACCTGGTATTTACAGCTCCAAATTATGATGTAAGGCAAAGAACGTATTCTGAGGGGCAATTGCCTATCTACCTATCTAGATGCTCGTAAATCCATACGAGTCTTGACATCATTGATGTTTAAATCCGGAAGGGGTATGGTGAATGTTTTACCCCACATGATCTTCCCAAAGCTCCCATCATCAATCATTATTATTGGTGTCTGATTAGACATCAACCTCCGATATCAGATTACGGAGCTTTTCCAGATATTACCTAGTAATAAGTACTTGGGTATCATAATGTCTACACAGCAGAAAGAAAAATGGAAGATCGAAGATAGAACGTGAAAATTGAAATGTATAAAAGATAACAAAACAAACAACTTTCTACTTTGTAAAATCAATTGTGATAATGCTATGCTTGCTATCATCTCTATCAATCATGGGTATTTTCCCCATGTATCATCAATAACGTCTCAACTCCATTTTTGGTATTCGTATGCTTTGCATATTCGTGATTCATAAATATCCTTCCACTCGCAATTGTCCTCCCTTGGCCACCTTAAAGACCTATCCTTTAATGCTTCCCTCAAGCTTGCACAAAGAAGCTACCTTACTTGCAAGATCATCAGCTTCACTTCTTGTGGCAGCTTCGGCATATACTCTCAAAGCATCTTCCGTGCCACTTGCTCTTGCGAAACTCCTACCATCCTTGAATTTAGCGACAAGTGCATCGATTTGTTGTTGTGTGCCTTGTGGCTCCACGAGTTTTCTCTCAGCGTCGGTTGTCTTGAACACGTTTCTATCGGCAACTTCAACTCGGACAAGACGATTGGGTAGGTCAATATAGGTAGAGTCCCATTCCTTTGGTGTCCAAGACTTGTGGGCCAGGATTGTCTCAACCAGTAACATATCAGAGAGCGCATCTCCAACCGTCTGATTGATCAAATCGGTGAGAGCACGGAGAGTCTCCAAGGCGTTGGCCTGAGCAGGAGATTCTGGGGTTGTGCTAGCAAATACTTTCAAAGCTTGTTGGGAGAAGACTACTGTGCCGTGGCCATTTGCTTCAAAGTAAACCCCAACATCGAATTTTGTAGCAGCATGATGTAACCATTTGACACCAGTAGGAGTACAAACGACAGGAAGCTTCAAGGTCTTCTCAACATACTTTGTACTAGCACCATTGGCGTAAGCAGTTTGTACAACACCGATTCTCAATTCATCCGCCAATCCAGCTTCTCTAGCAAGATCACCAATGAATGAAGCTGCGAGCGTAGCAATTCTATCACCATCCAATAGACGGAAACCATGGTCAGAATCATTGAAATAGTAAATGATTCTGTCAGCATCTCCATCTAATGAGCAGCATCGATCATTGTTTCCAGCTTTCGATGAAGGGGGAGCTCGTTGTTTGGTCTTGACATAATCGGCACCGCACTATCAAATATAAACATTAGTCATTGAAATCAACAATTCAAAAATACTAACCTCGTGGTTTAAGCTCTCTGCTTTCAAAACGTCATCGTTGAGTACTTTGATGTCGAGAATTCCCTTTGGTAGATACTTGATCAACTCTGCCAATTTAGGACCTCCAACACCGTTGGCACAATCGACGGTGACTGAACCAGTAGCCTTCTTTCCCTTCATAGCTCTCTCGAAAGCCTTTGCCAACTTCTCATAGTATCCAACCTCACTGACATCTCCATAAGCTTGTGGTGTACCCTCAGTGTTTGTGCATCTAGTCAAATAATGCAATTGCGGTGTGGTAAGCAACTTGTAATCCGTATAATCCGTTCCCGTCGCCTCGAGAGCAGCGATAAGAGCCGCCACCAATTTTGGTCCCGAAGGTCTAGTATCTCTGGCATAAATGACTCTCGCAGGAGTTTCTGGGTTGATTTTCAAATCCTTCTCCAACTTGCGATAGACGTTCACCACATCCTCATTCTTCGCATTGGCCAACTGTGTACTGTATGCCTCCCAACTATTCTCCAACATTTCTCCCATCGGATCGACTAGCTTTACACCGTTATCCTCAGGTGGGTTGTGCGACGCCGTAATCATAACTCCGATGGTTTGACCACCCAATTTGCGCGATCGAAGAGCAGCGACGAGACCAACGCGAAAGACGACGGAATCGAGAAGATTAGCCTTCATACGGAAGCCCGCGGTTCCATATTGGAAAACCCGATCGGCAGGTTTGGGGTGCTTGTTTGAAGCTTCGAGAATTTTGGAATCCATATTGTCTGACTTGATGAGCGAAAATAAAGACCTGTAATAGAGAGAAAGACTGGGGGAGAGAGGAAGATTATAAGAGGATTGTAAGACCCCAATATAATTATCCAGTTTAAGGTGCTCCAGAATGCGTGTTTTTATTCCTGATCTTCTTTTCTTGTTACCTTATAAGTATTCAACGTACCTTTGTTGAGATTTGTCTATGCGTTTTCTATGCGTTGGACATAAAATTTGAGGGGCTGATATTATTAGGTAGGCAGGGTAGTGGTGGTAGGTATTTGATTTATGTTCTATTTAAAGATTCACCGATTTTGTTAGGAGCTGCATAATTTGCGCATAAATGGCGCAAAGGGCCAGGTGGTGGTGACCTTCAGCTACTATGAAGATTATGCTGCGGTGCGTATTAATAAGCAAGTTCCCAGATTATTTGAGCGACTGTTCCAACTCTGATAAACCTCACAAGAGGACTTGACTGAATATCTAGCAGGTAATGTATGTATTTTGCTATTTGAAACCTCACTCATTGTTATTAGTATCAGAGTTGAATTTATTTGATCTGTTGTGATTATTTCTTTTGTTTTTCTTGAAGCTATTTCAATTCCACATGTAAAATGTCCGGAAAACATCTGTCTCGCTATTCCAGATTATGCACCATCGCTCAGTTGCGAAATGTCCTGTGAAACTCCTGTACTGTATGCAGTGACCTCCCAGATACTCCATCCATGCATGAATATGTGCAAAAAATACCCCCTTTATGATTGCCCATCTCACAAGAATTATCGCCTCCACCCCACTTCCCCGAACGAGGTTGAAAGCCTGTGTTACAGTGAACACTTAACCATACAACTCATCCTCATCAATATCGCCCATACCCACTGCGTCGTCTTCGTCGTAGTCATCTTCATCATAACCATTACCATTACCATTACCATTCACTTCACCTCTCCAATCGTCACCAGCCGGCTCATTTGTCTCATCATCAACCTCTTCGACGATTTCCTCCTCACCATCAACTATACTACCTGCAACTGAGCCAGGAGCCGTGGATGCATCTCTACTGGTGACTTTACTTCCCGTAGCGACACTACCAGGTCCAGACCTAGTGCCAACAGTCTTGAAAATATCTCTGATAGCTTCATAGTTGATCTTCTTACTCCAACTTCTTTCCTTCATTGCGTTGACAGCTGCTTCTGCTGGTGTACTAGCTACACTAGTTTGTCCTTCTCCAATTCTTGGCTTCTTCTTTCTCGCTCTAGTAACCTTTGGTGGACCCATAGCAGCCTTTCTTTCTTCGAAATCCTTTTGTTGTTGTTTGCGGAGCCAATCTTTATTTGCATTGAGCCAAATTTGTTCTTTCTTGGCAACTTCAGCATCAGGTAATACGCAATTCATGACTTCTTCGTCATCAGCAAATTCATCCTCTCCGATGTGAGTATCCATGCTAACATATTTTTGAGGGTGGTTTGCTTCCGCGTAGAGAAGATGAATATGCGCTTTCTTTTGGGCTATAGCAAAACTGATTGCATGCTCCTGAGTATGAGGATCGGAAACCATTTCTGTGATTTGTTGCTCGAGTTCGTCTTCTACAGCGAGCCATTCCTCTGGCATTTGGATAGGAGGTTCATCATTCCGTGGACGACCGGGGCCTCTAGTGGGTGCACCGGCGTATTCTTCGAGTTCTTTGGCAGCTTCTGCATCGGCAGGGTCAACGTCACCAAACTCAGCAACAAGTTTGTTGAAAGATGTGCCGGATTCATCTTCAATGGCGTCGTCCAAAAGTCGTGGATCGATATTTTCCTCTCGGGAGGTAGGAATTGCAGGAATAGCAAAGCCATCGGCATCGCGTCGTACTTCTCCTGATGGTACTGGAGCTCCAGATGTAGACTTTTGTCTCTTGTTACTTTCATCATTTTCCTCTTCAGTATCCTCCGCATTGTCTTCCTCGGCATCCGTTGCTTTACCTTTGCCCTTACGCTTGCGCTTCTTCTTTTTCTCTTCCATTTCTTTGAGGTAGGCTTCGGACTTTTGGTAGAAGGAAGGAGGGTCGTGTGCAGATTCCAAGAACTCGTTGTTGAGAAACTCTTCAACTGTAAGAGCACTACTTGGTGTTCTCTTAAATTCCTCCAAACGCTTTTGAATAGTGGCTGTTGTGACTTTGACAACATACACTACTTCGGTGACTGTTCGACGAAAGTTGTTCATTCGTGCCGCTAGGATTAAACAAGCACCACAGACACCGGAGGGTCTTCTTCCCATAACCATCCAATCTAGACTCATTCTTCGAACCATACGAATTGCATCATCGGCGACCTTTTCGGTTTGTTCGTAGAACTCAAGTTTGGAAGCGAATTTCCAGATTAAATCTTCGGGAAGAACTGGTAAAATGCCATCCGTAGCCAATGAAATTTGTTTATGAAGAGCTTTGAAATATTTTCCGAGTGTAAATACATTAACCTATGATTGTCAATAA